TTTTTTTTTATTGAAGGGTAGTTGACACACAGTATTACATTAGTTTAGTTTCAGGTGTACAACACAGTGATTTAACATTTATATACATGATAATTCTAGGTACCAGCTATCCCCATACCAATTTGTTATAGTATTTTGACTATATTCCTTAACCACATCACATTTTATGGGGACTTACAGGGAAAATTTATTTCAGATTTTAGAAGCATCTGAAATCTTGTAAACCGATTATGTTCCTTCCTCGCTTTGGTCTCTACAAACTCAGAGCTGACATTGAAATCTATCACCAGCAAATGTGTTGGACTTCATGAAATTTCAGCTAGCTAAAAATTTATTCTGCCCTTTTTGAGCCAAGTGGTAGGGCATCTGTATCTTATCTCCATAGTTCCCATTTCAGTTGTCATGGCAGGCGATACTATCCTTCCCTTTCTCCTGAAAAACAGATGGCAGCTTACTAAGCATAAGTCACTTGGCCAAGATTGTCCCTCCAGCAAGCATCGGAATTGTATTCATGTGACCGAACTTGCAACCACTAGGATGCCCTGCTATAGCTTAATCTTGGCTTTCTTATTGTCATCCTAGTTTCTTTATTTGTATAAAGCTTTTATTATGCTGAATTATACCTAACTATGTCAGCAGCCTCCAAGATCTTTTCATACTGGATAGGACATAGACATCTCCAAAGAGTCAAAAAATTTAACCACAAGGAAAATTAAATTAACCCGAACTCTCAGGAGACCAAGGCCCTCAACTAACTGAAAACCCTCTTTGTTTCATCTCCTGTTGTTAAAAACATATTTTTAAGTGTATCAACATCAATACACTGGTATTCTCTAGGGATATCCCCAGGACCTTGAAATTGGGCAGATTCTGGAATTTTATTACAAAAAATAACAAAGCCAAATCATGATTCAGCTGATGAACATTCAGTTAATCTCACTCAGAGAGTTTTTTTTCCACTCTGTTCACTACTAGTCTTGCAGAATCTGCAGTTACATTGTGCCACAAGAAAATTATAATTTGCCATGGGATTTTAAGATAATTTTGGAATTGTTAAAACTAGGAATCCAAATGTTGTGTCTTCTCTTCCCCCCCCTTGATGACTAACCTCTCAGAGAATGTTATTCTGAACTAGAATTTATTCTTGATGTCTGTCTTTTCTCTTGCACCCTTCATCCAATCTTTCAGGAAAATATGCGGATTGACACAACCCACGTGCTGGAACAGACCCTTCTCCACAGAGCTGCCACCCCTTGGCCACTGTCTCTGAGGCACCGTCCCTCCAGGCTGCAGTCTGGCAGCGGCCTCCTAAATTGGTCTTCCTGTTCCTGCTCCTGCTTTTCCCTCTGTTCCACACAGCAGACAGGGGACTCATTTAAAATGTAAATAAATGTATGTATGTGTAAATGTCATTCTATTGGTCAAAATCCTGCAGCAGCTTCTTGTTTCATTAAGAGTGAAGGCCAATGTACTTGCAATGGCTAACAAGCTTTCCATTCCATGACCTTACCCCCATTTGAGCTCCTGTTTTAATAGTCTGTTCCACTCAGGCCTCCTTCCTATTCATTGAACACACCAGACATGTTCTGTGGGCTTTCTTAGGACCTTTACCTGTTTCTGGAAACCGTCTCTTCTGGGCAGGCTCCCTTACCCTTTTAAGTTTTTGTTTAAACATCACTTACTCCGTAAAGCTTTTCCTTACCACACTTTTACTGAGGCAAGTCCATGCTCCCTAGTTTTTTGGCTTTACAGATTCTCTTTATCTTGCCCTACTTTCCATTTTTTCTTAAGCACTTAAAAATGTTTTACAGTCATTGTAAGTTACTCGTGTGCTTTAAAATGTCTAACTCTCCCTTCTCCCATCAGACTGGAAGCTACATGAGGATGAGGGCACAGATCTTTGTTTCGTCCACTGATGCATCTGAATCACCAAAAAGACTGGCTGTCCTTGACAAATATTTGTCGAATGAATAAATGCAGGCCATACTGTATATAAAACAGCTGAGTTAGTGTTTTGGGGAATTTGGTCACTTGTTAAATTAGTTAATTTTCATATTATATGGCTATTTCTCCTACAAGAAGGATATAAACTGAATTTTAAAATTGGAACACCCCAAAATTCATTCTCATGATTAAATAAATCACGTCCTAGAAATACAAGACACTTCTCAAATAAGAGGATACATTTGCAGTGTTTGCAGGTACTTGGAAAAATTCTGGTGAAATCATGTTAATGAAAAAAAAGAACACAGCAACACATGGTTTCTGTTGGCACCAATCTGGGGTTACAACCCTGTTTCATTCTTAGCCCATGTGGTTCCAATGAGGCTGGACTTACTCCCGAGATGAACATGTGATCCAGGAATGGCCAATCACAATTCTCTGATGGCCTGGCCTGCTCCTGCTCATCCCTCTGTTCCACGCAGCAGACGGGGTGACCCATTTAAAATGTAAAAATAAATGGCTTCAAGGATAAATTTGGATGAAAATTGGGTAGTGAGTCATCTAGCTTTGTTGTAGTTATTGGGAAATGAGTGCTTTCTGTGTGATGTGATTAACCATCTCTAAGAATAATGAAAACTTAAAGCTTCTAGTGATTATCTTTGAAAATGAAGTCAACCCAGAGGATGGCAAATCTAAAAGGTGATGTAAAGAGAGATCAATATCAAATGACATAATTTAATTCCTGTATCTACCTAATTTGGGTTAGATTCTTTTACTTCTAACTGAAAAGGTTCTGACTGGTACAATCATGCTTATCATAATTATGTAGAACTTGTATTTGAAAAATGAAGTTTAGATGAACTCTTAGTTGCAGCTCTTATATTAATTAAGAACAGATTTCATGGAATTTGATAAAGAATTTTTAAAGATTTTTTCTCTTTTCTTCTAAAATTGGATTAAACTGTTAGTTAAAAGTAAAGGTCTGGTGTTAACCAAAGATTTGTGGTGTTTAAGCCTTAAGTTAATGAAGTTTTTGCTGTCAACAGTTTTATTGCTATGAGACATTTATAAATAGAACTTACTCTATAATTTTGTGTTTGGATTGTACAGAGAAATCACAGTAATCCACTCCAATGTCTGTAAAGTCCACAAAGGTCGAGGACAAAATCTGAAATGCCTGAGGATTTTTTTCTTTGAGTTTTCGGCATACATTAAACCCATCTACAATTTCTGAATCACCGCCAGTGACTGTTTGTTTTATGCAATGCAGAAGCTGAACCTATAAAGAGAAATGGAGAAATGTGTTTTAAAATGATGCACATTTTTTTCACCCTGTGTAAAAGAAAGATTCAGAAAGATACAAGTGCACTAAAATCAGCAAATTTTTAAAAAATTTGTCTCTGTGTCAGCAGAGGAAGCAGGTGGAAGAAAAGTTGTTTATAATTAACACTTTATAGTTTAAACATTGTTATAGCTGGAGACATGGGGAGAGGCATGATAATGTTCATTAGTAAACAAAAGGAATAGATCAGAATAGCTGCAGGGAGTGAACACTTTATGTTGGAGTATTTATGCACTTCCTGTCGGCTTTACATGGGAGGTGGCATTTAATCTGGGCAAAGGAGGGTGGATAAGATTTCAAATATACAGAATAGGATGGAGAGAGCAAATCAGGTGACACTGATAATGTGTATGGAAACATGCGCACTTCATTGGGTTTCAAAAACTTTGGCTGTTACAGAGTTACAGTAGAGGGTTACAACTGGGAATAGTAGCCAGTTAGAATGGTGATTTGGCACCTTGTCCTGGAGAGTCTTACATGAAGTTGTTGAATGAAGACTTAGATGAAGAAGTCTTGAAGAAGTCTTAAGTAATTTAGATGTTAGCGTTTCTCTTGTGGGCAGAGGGGAATCGTTAAACCCTCTTGAATAGGGATGTAGTCAAGACTGAGTTGAAGAATATTAGTCCAGTGGTGTTACTAATATTAAAAAATTGAATAATTTTTTAATGGGGGAACTAGTGAGTGAGTAACTAGTTGGGGGTTTAACAGACCAGTTCAGGTGTAAGGATTAGAAGGGAGTGAGGTATAGTGGGATTATGAGGAGGGATTAAACCCCAAAAACAGTTGGAATGAGAAACAAAAAGGATATTGGTTATTTTTAACTAAGACTTAGGGAAAAATGTTTAACATTGTTTCATTTTGAAAAGCACAAAATCTGAAATGGTAAAATGATAAAGATATTCTTTTGACTAGAGCTTATATGACTCCTTTTGGTAAATCAGCATGGGTGGGTGATTTTAAATACCTAAATTTAGAGCCCGGTTTTCTGCTAAAGGAAACTAACATGATTCCTTTGTGAAAAATTCATTCTTAGTGAAATAAAAATAAAAACCAGTGTCTGATTGTTCTTGTAGAAGGAAGTGGGCAAATGTGATCAAATACCCAGACTAGGGGGTTATCAATGGGAATGGGAAAAATACCGTAAATGGGTTATTGCTTATTTCCATAGATGGCCTGGCACAAGGCTGTCCATTAGAACTTCCTGCGATGATGGAAATATTCTATGTTGCACTGTAAATACAGGAGTCATTAGTCCCGTGTGTCTATTGTTCACTTAAAATGTGCTAGTGTGCACTTGAAATGTGGTTAGTGACTGAGGAACTGAATTTTTATTTTATTTAATCTTAAGTAAGTTAAAAGTTAAACAGTTACATATTACTAGTGAATACTCTATTAGATAGGTAAGAACACAAATCCTTCCTCCTTCGCAAAACCACACATTTTCTCAATACTTAAAATTTAATGCATAGTTCTTCTGTGTCAGGTACATTTATTAATTCCTTGTAACAGTCCTTAGATTTTAATGCTTTCATCGCCATTTCATAGATGCAGAAACAGACCTAGAGGTGAAAAAACTGTCCCCTCCAGCTATTAAGAACTGAGGTAATACATGGTAAAACTTAAATTCAAACCTTGGCCTTTTGCTTCAAAATCCTCATATAGGAAGTTCTTTTCCTATAAAGAGATTATTATGGTGCACTTAATAATTCAGTATTGTGTGTGTATATGTGCTTTGTAAAATTAAACTTCTGTTTCAGGTCAATGATGCCTTGTTTTTTGATATTAGGAGAAAACTGGTCTAAATTAATAATGGAGCTAACAAGGCCCAAACACTCAATTATAAAATGGTAACAGCGGTGAAAGTACAGCATAGGAAATATAGTCAATAATATGGTAATATCTTTGTTGACAGATGGCAAGTACAACTATTGTGATAAGCATTTAGTAATGCATATAATTATTGAATCACTATGTTGTACACCTGAAACTAATATAATATTGTATATCATCTATATTTGAAATAAAAAAATCTAAATGTTAAAAAGCAAAAATTATATAAGAATAGTTCTGTCCTTAAACGGAGGCCAGTTTTTCTTAAGCTCAAAAAAATATGTGCATAAATTGTCTAGGTCATTGTGGAAAATCATCTCATCAACAGGGCAATGAAGGGTAATGAAGCATAATTAACAAGAAGATGAAACGAAATGTCAGCCTCAAATCTAGCAAACTCCAAGAAGGCAAACGATAGCATATTTCTGTCTTTGGGGGAATCAGTGTTATTTTTATTTATTTATTTTTTGATTTTTAAAAATTGAAGTACAGTTAATATACAATATTATATTGGTTTCAAGTAGACAATGTAGTGATTCAACAGTTAGACACATTATTAAATCCTCACCCCAACTAGTGTAGTTGCTATCTGTCAACACTGAAAGATGTTACAGAACTATTGACTGTATTCTTTATGCTGTACTTCCATCCCTGTGACTAATTTATATTATGAATGAGATTTTGTGCCCCTTTATCCCCTTCACCTGTTTCACGCGTCCACCCTAACCCCTCCCATGGTAACCATGAGCCTTCTCAGTGTCTACAAGTTTACTGCTATTTTTTTCATTTTGTTTTGTTTTGTTTTATTTTTAGATTCCCCATATAAGTGAAATCATATGGAATTTGTCTTTCTCCACCTGGCTTATTTCACTTAGCTTAATGCCCTATCGGTCCATCCATGTTGTCACAAATGGTAGGATTTCTTTCATTTTTTTATGGCTGAATAATATCCCATTGTATATATATAATATATATATATATTATATATATACCACATCTATCGATTCATCTATTGATGGATACTTTGGTTGCTTCCACATTTTGGCTGTTATAAATAATGTGGCAATAAACATAGGGGTGCATCTATCTTTTTGGATCAGAGATTTTGTTTTATTCAGGTTAATTCCTAGATGTGGAGTTACGGTTATATGGTATTTCTGAATCAGTGTTCTTTAAAATCTTTTTAGATTTTTCCATAATGAAGTCACACATATTTCAAATATAAGTCACTCTGAAAGATCAGATGTCTTTTGTGGAGCGCAAGGCCAAGTTCTAATCTTCTTGTATATGTATACATTTTAACGTGATCTCATGAAGGAGAAAAGATCATAGACCTGGACAACCCCTTCACCACGAATTCAAATGGTAAATATATGCCTGATACCTATAAAAAGCAAATTTATTTCATGTAAGCCATTCAGAACCAAAAATATTTTCTTCCTAAATGTTACTTCACGGCAGCATGTGACTTTTGGCCTAGAAAAAGAGAGTGAAGCAACATTTGTGTTTCATTAAAACTGTGTCTCCTTTTCTCTGCCCCACGTGATCCAAACTGATCAAACTGTTTATTATCCAGATCATTTCATCTGTACTGAAAAGAAAATGGACTTATTTTGTTACAAAAAAAGTTCAAAATTTGGTACAAAACCCCCTGAATAATTCCAAATGAAAACATGAACAATAGCACAAACTGGTGCCTGCATTTTAATTATTCTTCTATTAGAATTAAGGTATTTTAGGAATCATCTTTTATTAAAAATCTCCCAGTAAGTCGTAGCTTTGGATATTTCATTTGCTGGTGGAGATGGGTCAAATGTTGTGGCATTTCATCACTTCTTTATATTGTATCTGTGAAGTCTCTAGTATGTGCAAGATACAGAAAAGTATACAATTCAGTTCCTGTATATAGAGTTTGTAATGTATGGCAATGTTGTACTCATCATCATAAATGATGATAATTAAAAAGTCTAACTCAAGACCAGTAGGGTGTGGTGAAAACTAGGTGGAGGCCTGGGTTCAAGTCAAATGTCCTATTAGATACAACCCTGTGAAAGTATTTGACCTTTCTGTGCATTCCTTTCTCATCTAACGTAAAAAGGTGTGATCTGTTCTGTGGTTAAGGATTGCTAAGGGAGTGTTCAGTCGGGTCAGATAAAGTCGTATAAGTAAAAATGCTTTGAAGAAGCTGTGACAGAATGTTATGAAAAGCATTTTACTAGACTTCAGGAATATTTGTGAAGTTACTTAATCACTTTTCCTTAGGCTTTCAATTTTTAACCCAGAAACAAACCCTAAGCTCCTAAAAAGTAGCATGTAATTTAAACATTCAAATGGAATCTTCAGTTTTCCAGTCTGATTTTTAAAACTTAATTCCATCCCACTTCTCCAGCCTAGCACTGGCACATGGGCTGATTAGCTTGGCTTTTAATGCCCAGTGTTTTAGAGAATCTCTGGAGCACATTTAGAACAAATCGCATTGTATCTCCCTCAGCTTCCATCTCCACCCAGAAAGGTGACTATTGAAGTCATTGCACTGTCATCATTTAGTTCAAAGAAATCATGTGATTTTTATATCTATAATCAACAAAATAATTTAAAACATGTGAAGTTAAATACCAGACTTGCTTAGTTAATATTGGCGATGACAAGGGGTAAGAATAAGGGCTCAGAAAAAACTTGTTCAGTCAACATGATGAAGAAAACAGACTAATTTCTATTTTGGCTGATTTCACCTTCATTAACTAGAAAATTGCCCACAATTTCTATTTTCATTAACTTTTGAAGATACTGATTTCTGTGTGGTTATTTCATTTAGTCCTATTTAGCTCTAAAAATAGGAACAACCTATCTTTTTAAAAGTAATTTCCTGACCATTTATTTCTTGGTTTAGCAAAATGATGGTTTTGTAAATATGTTGCTGGTTTAGTGAAATGACAATGCTGTAAAACTGTACTGGAAAAGTGTCCTTCCAGGAATTCCCCTGGAGGACTTGTAGTTTCGTGCTGACAATCTCCTCTTGATGAGGATATCATCTCTCTCCTTGATGAGGAATCTGATAGATGGGAGAGTCAACTGTTTCCGAAAACAGCCATGGTTATGCAGCTTCTTGCATTCCCACCAATTTGTAGCACATCTTTGCAGTTTCTCCCATAGAAGGGAGTCTATTTCCTCATCTCTTGAATATGGGCAAAACTTATGACCTGCTTTGACCATTAAAACATGGCAGTAGTGACACTGTACTGATTATTAGCCTAGATTTCAAGAGGCATTGTATGTTTTGACTTGCTCTCTGGAAGTTCTGCCAGCTGCCATGTGCCTAAACCTGGGCTAGGCTTCCTGAGGATGATACATCAGGTGGAGCAGAGACAGCCTTCTTAGCTGAAGTCCACGTAGGTCAAGCAGTCCCTAGCCGACTGCAGCTGCAGAACTGCCCACCTGAACACAGCTGGAATTGCAAAACACGTGCTAAGTACATGACTATTCTTTTAAGGCATTGAATTATGGAATGGGTTTTTATGCAGCAATAGCTAACAAATATGAATGATGGCCATGGGACTCTGTGGGAAAAACCCTCCATGTGCTCCTTGGTTTCATTTTCTCTTTTGACTCTCTTGGGAAGGGTACATGTGTAAGAAGACTTCAAAATGTACTGTGATCTTAAAATCTGTTGTGGCAAAGCAAAAAGTGCCAAGGAAGTTTCCAGGAATAAACAAAGAAATGTTTAAAAAACATTCATATAAAAATCTTCTATACCTTGGGAATGTGAGGCTATTCAGAATTTAGGTAGAGAAGTTTTTGTTTTTGGATTGTTATTTGAAGAAAGACCTACATAAGACAAGTTAGCTAATGACTCTAAGTATAGGAGGATGTTGGTCCTTGGCCTGTCTTGTGGAAATACGCAGAGGCTCACCTTACCCCAGGTGGATGATGGAGGGCTGGGTAATCCGTGTGAAAGCTCAGCTTCCCAGTTGTGTAAGCCACATTGTTTGCATCAATTTTGTCTTGCACTTGCCAAGTATGTCTGCAAAATACAAGAAACATATGTTTAAAGGGCTGTCACCGAGCCAGAGGAAATGTGTTAGAATGAACTTGAGACATGGGGGAAATGGCAACTTTCCATTTTATGAAATAATTACCATAATGACTATGAGCTGGGAAGACAGTCTGACCTTTCTTTGTCCAAAGTAACTATTTCAGAATCAGCATCTCCTCATTTACACATTAGTCTACCCTACAGAGTTTGTAAAGAGGTATATATGGAATTGTAGGTTCTACTTTTTAATAGCTGAATCAATTTTAAAAAATGATTTATTGAGGTGAAGTTCACATAATATAAACTGAACCATTTTAAAGTGAACAAATTCAGTGGCATTTATTACATTCACAATGTTTGTAGCTGCTGCCTATTTAGTTTCAAAACTAAAACCTCTTGTCCATTAATCAGTTTCTTCCCATACTGCCTTCCTTCCAGTCCCTGGCAAACACCAACACACTTTCTCTGTCTATGGACTTACCTATTTTGGATATTTAATATTAATAGAGTCATATGATATGTGACCTTTTGTCTGGCGTCATTCACTTAACAATATTTTTGAGATTGTGTGAGGTACATGAATGACACAAATTTCATGAAATGCATCTATGACATAGCATGTGTTGTGACATCATTCTTATGTATGGTTGAATAATGTTCTATTATGTGAATATACCACTAGTTTGTGGTGTTTGTACACATTCATGTTTAATGGCTAGATACACTAATTCATTGGGAGTTGCAAACAGTAAAATACCAAATTAACAATTTCTTTTTTATTAATTGGACTACATTTCAAAAGATCCACTTTGCCTCATGAACTATGTGGGCTCCCCATATAATATCTTACAAAGGGATGATGAGATAAAGGTTGATTCTTTCCCTTTATTTACTATTTTGTGATGAAATGGATAAGTTTTCTACTACCCCAAGATGAATAACTAGTTTTTTTAAAAAACATGATTGTTGAAAAACTACTGAGACTAGATAGAGGTAATGGTTTCACAACATTGTCAATGTACTAAATGACACAGAATTGCACACTGTAAAATGGTTAGGTTATGTCAATTTTACCACCATTACAAAAAAAGTGGCTTGACCTAAAAGTTAAGAAGTGTTAATTAAGAAAAGAGGTAGGGTTAGCTGGAAACAATGGCAAAAAAAGAAGCCCATATTCAGATTTTGTAAGGCTTTTCCCCTCAGAAGATGTAGAAAATGGGTAGCTGGAAGGAAGCTGTATTTCAAAATAAACCAAAGCTGTTTTTAAAAAATGTCACCATATATGCATGTCATTTTATTGCTGTTACAATGTCCAGTTATTAATTTATGTTCACATTCATCAAATCATTTTTCAATACATGTGTATATTGAATACCTCTTCTATTCCAGGCATTGTCTAAGCATTAGATACACAGTAAGTTACAACAAAGACAAATAAGTAATTACAAAATCTAATATTAGATAGAGATAAATGCTGCAAAGAAAGTAAAACAAGGTAAGGTGAGTAGGATTGGGGTCCAGGAGAATGTCATGGCAGAGATTGTTTGGGAAGTGCTCTAGAAAGACCTAGAATTTTTCATAGAAACCTAAGTAAAATAAGGGAAGGGGGAATGTGAATTTCTGGGAGATGTATTTTAGGCAGAGGAATCTGAAGGGGAAAGGTAAGGCTTCTTCCCCATTCTCTGGGATTGAGGTTGAAACTAGCTATTTTGCTGTTTTTCTCTCTCTTAAATTTAAGGTGGGAGCCTGGTATATCTTTCACTAAAGGTTAAAAAGCCATGAACTGGAAAAAGAGTGGAAGGAGGAGAGGAGTACTGCAACTCATTTCAGGTATGAGTCGAGCTATCCATTACATTGTAGTGACTGCAGTCAAGACATAGATGTTCTTTCTGAAGTTCAAGTCACTTCATGGTTCCTGCATAATATAGATTCAGACTGTTGTCAACATCAGCATTCCAAGAATAATCAACGTGTATAAAGAGATTTAAGGATACAAAAAGAACAGTTTCATGGAGTTGTAGAATACATAGTCTCTTCCAAGAAGGAGATGCTTTTGACACTGTCAGTAGGAAATTATTATATTCATATTTTCTTTTTAAGAGTGGTGATGTTTTTGTATTGATTCATCTATATTTGCTTTCCTGGTTTCCCCTATGATCAAAAGTAAACTAATTGAATTTTCCTGCATCCAAGAGCTGGCTGAGATTCAAAATGCGAGCTGTAGCCAGGGAACAGTTCTTTTCTTTGTTTGACATTAACTGGCTACTATAGCGATGGAGCCTGTGACTTGGCTTCATCACAGCAGTTCTCCAGCCCTCGGAGCTAACTGGCAGAGGATGATAAACATTTTTTAGCCCTAAAGTGTCTTAGGCACGGTATGGGAAATGTAGCCTACAACTCTATGCTCACACATAATGATAAATCCCAGGAAAGGAGCTTGCCAATTCCAATCATAAAACATTCTCCTAATAACTATAGCATAAGTCTGGAAAAATCCTAGAAATGTCTCTTGGTCTACCTTTCTACCTCCCTATAGAAATTACTCATGCCAAGAATGCTGCTGCTGATGGTCTGTGACTCTGAGCTTTCAATTCTCCTTCTCAAATCCAAATGAAAATAGAAGAAATGAACCATTGGCCTGTGGACAAACTTTTCTTAAAAGCCCACCTGTGGGGTCTCAGTGAGATGATGATGTTTTTATATGCACCTTTCATTAGAGACAGACACTAACGTTGTTCTAAGTAAAGCAACAACTCAGGTATATGATCAAGAGCTGTCATAACTTAAGCAGAGGTGCAGGACCAGGGTTTCTAAAACGGAGAAGGCAGGCTGAGCACAACATCTTAATTCAACAGTTAGACAAGCTCAGTATTATGCTGGGACAAGTAACTGAATCTGTACAGCCAATCCTGTTTTTGCCAAAAATATTATTTTAAGCAAACCTAAGTATTTCCAGTGAGCTACTCATTTCACTAATATGTACTTCAATTCATGACTTTAAAGAGAATTTTTTTTTGGGGGGTGACTATTACTTATTTTATTTTCGTTTTGTATCATTAATATAAAATCACATGAGCAACATTGTGGTTACTAGATTCCCTCCATTATCAAGTCCCCACCACATACCCCATTACAGTCACAGTCCATCAGCATAGTAAGATGCTTTAGAGTCACTACTTGTCTTCTCTGTGCTATACTGCCTTCCCTGTGCCCCACCCCTAAGTTATGTGTGCTAATTGTAATGCCCCTTATTCCCCTTCTCCCTCCCTTCCCACCCATCCTCCCCAGTCCCTTTCCCTTTGGTAACTGTTAGTCCATTCTTGGGTTCTGTGAGTCTGCTGCTGTTTCATTCCTTCAGTTTTTGCTTTGTTCTTATGCTGCATAGATGAGTGAAATCATTTGATATTTGTCTTTCTCTGCCTGGCTTATTTCACTGAGCATAATGCCCTCTAGCTCCATCCATGTTGTTGCAAATGGTAGGATTTGTTTTCTTATGGCTGAATAATATTCCATTGTATATATGTACCACATCTTCTTTATCCATTCATCTACTGATGGACACTTAGGTTGCTTCCATTTCTTGGCTATTGTAAATAGTGCTGCAATAAATATAGGGGTGCATATGTCTTTTTGAAACTGGGTTCCTATATTCTTAGGGTAAATTCCTAGGAGTGGAATTCCTGGGTCAAATGAAAAGAGAATATTTTATGGGCTTGATTTGAATGCTAATTCACTAGCTTCAATCAAGTTTAGATGGGCAATCATAGATATTCATTATATTTTTGATAATAATTGTGTTTTGTGACAAATTTGAATCTTTTGGTGTTCATGGGATGCTTAAATATATTTTTTGCTGGATTTTTTCTTTATACCCTTGGTAATAGATTTTACACTCTTTTGATTAGTGGTTCACACTTGGAAAAACATGCTGGATTATTTGTAATCTTTTTGTTTTCAATGTACTATTTATTTGAAAAGATGTTCTGTAACTGCAACCTGGATTTACTATCACCAGCAGCTGCAATCTCTAGCCTTGGCCTTCTGCAAACTCTTCTCATCAGATTGTGGGAGAATGCACTCTTTTGAATATCATTACTTATCCTATTGGATCCAAAACAAAATGCTCATATGTTATTTTTATTTTTTAAGATTTAACATGGAAAATGATCTCCCAGCTAAAATAAGTGAAGCATAGTTAACCATAAAAGGAATATCATGTGCATTATTTCTAACTATAGTTGTGACATATCCACATAGGCCTTCCCAAATACATTCACTCCCAAGAGCTCCAGATATTTGTTTCCATTATTACTTATTAGACATGTACAATGGTCCAGGAACTGAGGATGCAGAAGTGAGTAGAATAGAAATAGATACTTTTGCCTCATGGAATTTATAGTCTATAAGGAATGTAAATTGGTGTGATTTATCTTCCTAAGCTAAAGTACACTGTGTTATAAGAGTGAAGAAATGAATATTAAATGGAGACCTGAAGATCGAGTAGGATTTACTTGCAAGGGCAAAGGTTCTTGCAGACAGAAGAAATAGCAGTGAGAAGGTCCAGCAGAGGGAAAGCACCTGGCCTATTACAGAAGTGAGAGAAGTTCAGTATGGCTGGAGAGGGGATGGTTTTCTCTATGGCTATTCTTGGCTTCTTTCCTTCAAATTTCTGCTTCCCTTGTTGTTCTGTAAAGTCTTACCAAAAAAATCTCATTATACAAGGGAACTAGAGTTCAAATATATTCTTTATCTTACAGCATTTAACCTACTGACAAAAATGTTTGTTGAATAAAGACATTTGAAACTTTTCATATGCCCAAAAACTACCGTAGGGCAATGTGAGAATAGCAATTAAGCATAGGAGGGAATTTTCACATTCCAATTTAGGTGAGCACAAGAAACAAGCTTACCAGACAAAGCTCCCTTCTGGGATGAAGCTTCTTTCTGAGAAAAAGACTCCAAACTGAGCAGTACAGAAACAATAAAGA